AAGCTAGTATTGTAAGATAGCACTACCGAGAGAAAGTGCAGTTATGGCCATCTCCATTTTTACAAACAATCAAAATGCTTGGGTATAATTTGGAGTAAAATAATTTAAATACAACAGATTAACAGGAAAATCATATATGTTTTTCGTTGAATGAAAATCAAAATGCTTGGGTATAATTTGGAGTAAAATAATTTAAATACAACAGATTAACAGGAAAATCATATATGTTTTTCGTTGAATGAAAATCAAATTGTATAATTCTTGGTGATGAAATTCGTAATTTTTTTTATAGATTATTAGATATGCGTCTATATAATATACTATAAGAGACATTTGTATTTGTTTCTAAAAATTATTATATTTGATCTATATCACCCTTAAGTTATCGTATATAAAATATTCAATTTAACTTGGCAATTTAATCCAATCATATTTTTTTTTGTCATATATAGCTAATTAAGTAATTAGTCTATCAACGACTTAGTCTAGATTCAATATTCCTTGATTTATGAGTTGAATATTTTTACTTAGAATGTATATATGATTATGTTAAATATAAAAAGTACGGAAATCAATATATTACCATTTACACATATACTGACATTACATAAAAGGAAAAGTACGACAATAAAAATTTATATGATATATGTATAAGGAATATTTATATTTGTCTCTAAATAGTAAATATATGAAATGGGGTATAAGTAACATTTATATTTGTCTCTAAAGACTATTAAAATTATCTTCATATGATATAACTATAAGTGACATTTGTATTTGTCTCTAAAGATTATTAGATTTGTCTCCATATGACATAATTATAAGAGACATTTGTATTTGTCTCTAAATGCTATTAGATTTGCGTCTATATGATATATGTATAATGAGCATTTATATTTGCATATAAAGACTATTAAATTTGTCTCTGTATGACATAACTATAAACAACATTTGTATTTGTCTCTAAAGACTATTAGATTTACCTGTAGAGACAAATAATTTTACCTACTGAGATAAATAATATATTTGCTCTTAAAACTTAGCTATAGAGACCACTACAACAATTGCCTCTAATTATTTGTCTCTATAGGCTGGTTTTCTTGTAGTGATTGTTCTCGTTTACAGTTTGGCATGATCGAATGTAACATGTTCCTGTGTTCGTGTATGCCATTGTTTTATTCATACTGTCCTCGTATACTGTTCGGTTTTCGGGGAAAATTGCATACGTCATTCATCGTCAATTTCTGTGTGTTAGGCGATTCTTACATGCAGTAGAGTATAACTATTTTGTATTGGGTCATTAAATGGAACGTGTTTGATTCTGTACGTGGGCTCCATGCATACACATAAGTTCTTCTTGGCTGTTTTTACTCATTAGAAAGTAAGTAATTCCGGTGGGGTAATTGCAGTGGTTAATATATATGTTCTGGTTCTGATTCTGATTGTTAGTGTGTATATATATATATATATATATTCTTTCTGGTAGCCACTGTTTTTGTTCTACACTTCTACATGTATTTTGAAACAACGAATGGAAGTTTCGGTTTGGTCATTTTTTGCCATTGCAAAGAAATTTGCATTCGACTGGTGGCAAAATGTTTGTTTTTGGTCTTGAGATGTGGTGTGTTTCATTTGGAATTTGTATGAAGCATTTCGTAACCACTGTTTTGTGTCTCCTATCATTTGAAAGAATTTTGATTCCTTTTGTCTCTGCGTGAGGGAAATGCCGTAGAAAGGAATTTGATTCCAGTTGATTCTACATAAGGGGAATTGCTATGATATTATCATTTTCAAATTTTACTTGGTTATATATTGTCGTATATATTTGTTTGGTCGCTTTTTCCCATTGCAATTGCAAAGGAAGAGAAGGGACGGTTGACAAGAAGAAGGAAAGAAGCATTCAACGGTACAAGAAAGAAACCCTTGCTTTCTAAATTGATCATGTAAGTATTAGCACCATCTTCTGTGAATAATATAGGTATGCATATATTAGAAAGGTATATATATCATCAAGGCTGGTATACTTTGGTATGCATTGATATATATAATCTATCTATGTTTGTTTTGTTTCTGCGATGAAAGCAAACAAAGAAAATTGATGGCATTTAATGCCCATGCGAATGGTGGTGGGAGTATACTTGCGATAGCCATTTCATAATATGTGCTAATGATTGCAAATACTTTTTCATAATATGTGCTAATGATTGTAAATACTTTTATAGTATTTGAGATGAGAACAAACTCATAATCATATTATGAGTAGAGTTAAAAAAAATTCAATTATTTTGAAGTTGGAAGAATTCATGTTGAATTCTTGGAAACAAATTTTTCATAAAATTTGTGAGTTTCAAATTTTGGCACTTGAAAGATACAACACTTCGGTTTATGTGACCAAGTTGTTTGGAGTAAAACCATTACGAGCTTGTTTGATTCCAAAATCAACCACGAAGTTTAAATGCGTTCATCGCATTGGTCCAATTCATTTATGTGGCATGGATGAATGATAATTGTGCAATTTAATTTGGACACTTTTTCATTCAAAGTGATGCATGAGAGGATGGAAGACCTTATGCTAGCTCTTCATGGACTATAAGTAAAGGTGGTTTGGATAGTAGTAAATTATCTAGTAGAAAAATATAAACAATCATAGGTGTGCAAATCCTATGGTGCGAGGCTAGTGGGGACTTGTGAATCAAGTCTATCTAAGTCGGAAAGGTTGCAAAGATTATGTTCGAAGTAAGTTGAACATAGTATGAATGAGTAAATACCTACAATCAGGTGGAGATGTAATTTGGTTAATGCATGGCTAAAGAATTACATTACGAGAAAGCCATAAGAGATAAGAAATTATAATTTCTACAATGCTTGTGGAGGTATGATAATTTATTTATCATGTATATGGTTTAGGACTTGATGTTTCCTATGCTTTGAGGGCAAGGAAAATGAAGCTATGATTGATCCTTATAGGGATTTAATAAGCTTGCCAAATGATGGTCGTCATCAAGATAAGCATTAGGTCAGAATTGTTTATGGTATAAGTACACTATACCATTGGAAAACAATTTGACTTACGATTATTGTGTGTAGCTATGTGTCAGAATTGTTTATGGTATATATAGACATATACCATTGGAAAACAATTTAGCATAAGAGCTCAATTGAGGTGCTCATATTGAACTTAAAGTCTAATTACGTATGGTATGTTTATGAAGTTTATACCATTGGAAAATAATTAGACAATTGAATTAGAAATTCGTTAGAATTACTTGTGGTGTATCATGTTACATAAATGAAATGTCATTGGTAAGTAATTAGATGGGATCTCCATTACAGGAATGCATCTGAATTACTTATGACGTCACATTTGGCTTGATCAATACCATTGGTAAGTAATTAGATGATATTTCTAATAAAATCTGAATTGTTTGTGGTATGCTAATCGAAAGAGATCATACCATTGGTAAACAATTAGATACATATAGTGGATGGCAAGTTCAATAAGTAAAACCATGAAAAATAAACGGAATTATTCCATGATGTTTTGGCAAATGGTAGAATTGTGGGGGAGATTAGTTGTTGAATAAACTACTCTCTCAAAACCCTACAATGAGGCATAAACCTATCCATAAAGAGAATGTGGAAAGGTAAACGAAGTCATACTTGAAAGTATGAAGGCGTCCAGTGAGACAGTGCAAGTCCATAAACCTTGTGAAGTTAATCCAGTCCAAGGGTATAACTTATGAGTAAACTCTAGCATATGTTGACAGTTATGTCAGAGAGCTAGTTTGAGAAATCCAAACAAGATTTCTTAGAAATGTGGATCCACACTTCCCAAAGGGTAAATAACGTCGACCATATACATGAATGTATATGAACAACAGTCCCTCTATTAGAAACATTTGGTTTCAACAACTATGGAGAAATAGTTGAAATGTGGGGGATAGATTGGGGAGAAGAGATATGGAATGTCGCTTGTGTGATACCAAAGTGAAGTGATGTGAATACTTAGGAGTTTTACGTAAACCCTAAGCTAAGTCGTAAATGTCACTACATTTAAAGAGATACTTGTGCATTTCAAGTTCTCTAAGGTTAATGAAGTGGAGATACTTCAACACCATTGTCATGCGTTAAGATTATTGCAAGGCAATAAAATCAAGTCAACCACACGTGATGTGTAGTGAATCAAAAGAGATGAGTCTTTGGTGTATTTTACTCAAAGGAACTCACTGGGTGAACCAAAAGCCATAGTCCATTAATGGATAAGCATTTATGGTTAACGGGGAGCAGTATCTTGGAAAACGTCCAAGTTAAACTCTAAGACCGGTGAAGTTGAATAGTCTGGCCCGCAAATATTGGCGTTAATAAAACGCACTTTTGCACAAAGTTGTTATTGCAAGGGCTAGAAGTGTTATGTGAAAATCTCGTCATAGATAATGGAAACATAACACTAGTTATTGGTTAATTTCTAGCGAAGTTATCGGAGATGATCATTTTAGATCAAGTGATAACAAACGTAGGGGCCCGCCTAGAAATTAAATCATCGAATGGAATGGAATCGTGGCCTAGGACAAATCATCATGGCGGTAACTCTATCTAAGTAGGATTGGCAGACCCAACCTCTAGGTTCAAGGAGCATACAATGTTGAGAATGATGGTCCGCATTGTCAAATTATTCAATATCCATTCTCATGATGAGACAATGTTCGAAATAAGGGTAAACCTAAATATGAATGGTTTTTAATGGTTTCTAAGTTTGACACGTGGTGTGATCAAATAGTGTATTTTCGGAATACACGTTTAGAAATCACCTATGTGAGCGTGAAGTGGAGCCGCTTCAAGGAGAATAAAAGAAGGACAGTTCTCTAAGCACTCATGAGACAAGGCGATGTTCATGGCTAAAATGAACACAACAATGAGAACTAGTGAACGGATAAGAGTTAGTTGTGTGAAATATGTTGTCCTAGTATACAAGCAAAACCTACGGTTCAAAGATATCACATCTACCGATTGGTGAGTATACTCGATATATGTTCACTAAGGAAGGTTCAAAGGGAAACCTACCTATTCCGATGCAACTAATTCTTAGTCGAGAATCGCACAATTTTTTGCATAGTTTTTAAAGTACAACATTATCCATTCATGTGGGGGATTGTTGGGATTATTAGTGGTGTGAATGGAAATGAAAGGGGAAAGATCCAAGAGAGTCTCTTGAAGTACCATGTTGGTAAGATGTGGGAAGGCATGGTCTCGAATTCGATCGATTTGATGTAATATGTGGTTAATTGGTTAAATTGGTTTGTGTAACCAAATGAACCAAACCGAGTTGAACCAAATCGAATCGAACCAAAATGGCTGTTGGAATAACCAAACCGGTCCAGCTTCCATGAGGCCGAACCAATGCAATGGTTGAAATATTTTAAACGAACCAATGCAATGGTTGGGGTGTAACCACCCATACGAAGAGTTGCCTCCCTTCGTAAGCACCCATGCATTCATTTTCAATAAATAGCACCTAACCCCCTCTGGTTTTTACATGGATTTTTCGGTACCAAAACTTTGCTAAAATCCAAAACTAGTTTTCTGCATTATTTTGAAAGAGAAAATCGAGTCAAGTGTGGTTCTCGCCGGTTCGCTGCGTTCGATGGGTTCCGGGGTTTGAGGTACTGCTACGCCAGAAAAGGTACGTCATTTCTATCCTGGGAGGAATCATTCCATAACCTTGGCCCTTGGGTACTAGAGGGGAATAAGATTCTTTAAGGAGAGATAGTGAATTCTATCGGCTAGGACGTTTGCATGTGTCTTTGCATGTTTTCTTAATCTTATGTGTTTGCTTGTGTTGCCAGAAAATAGTATACGTGAACAATTTTTCCACAACAGCTCTTTGGAAGCTTTGGATCATCCGTCATCCACATCGACAAACAGGTAGGTAATCTACGTCGACTTGTCCTTCAAGAAATCCATAATCTTGTTTTCGTTTTGTTATACGATGTTGTTTGAAACATCTCTGTTTTGTTTTTCCGTTTTGATGATCCTATTTGGAGTATCCTGATCCACCATGTTACTGTTCGGAGTGTACATTGTTTTATGGTTAGGTTTTTTTGGTTTGACGATGATGTGTGGAGAATCTTTGTTTTGTTTCGTCATAATCGGTTTTTGGAGATTTTTTGGTATCAAGGGAGAATTCAAAAGATTTCAAACTCCCACGCACAGCACCAAGAGAAGGAAAACGCAGCTGGAGTGATGTTGTTTCCTGCATAAATTAAGAGCCTTCAGAACGACAGCGTGCTAGAGGACGACAAATTTTCAAGTTTCAACAACTATCATCTACAATTTTACATTTCAGTACCCAATGTTGTGTTTTTACACATTTTTCTCTTTCTGGCATGTACTTGTTTGTGAAGCAACCTTGTCTTCTATTGCTACTTCTGATACCACTATATAAGCTGAGAGAAAAATGAGATGAGATAGGTTTTCAGTCTCAATACATTGCAAAAATGTTGTTATGGTATCAGATCCTGGGAACTAGAAACCCTAGCCACCAGCAACATCCATGGATGAAGCAACAACAACTACAGTAGCAACAACAGTCCCACCAACCAACCCAGATCCTATGGTGGATCCTTTATACCTCCATGGATCTGAACAACCTGACCTTGTTCTTGTTACAGATAAGCTCACCATTACCAATTACAATGATTGGAGTAAAGCTATGCATAATGCCCTTGGAGCCAAAAACAAACTTGGCTTCGTTGATGGTACACTTGCAGAGCCGCAGCTAACCACGGAACAACCTGGGCCTGGAACAGAAACAATGTTATGGTGCTCTCCTAAATCCAGCAAGCCATCGAACCTGGCATCAGGAAGACCATCATGTCAATCAAAACAGCGACAGAGGCCTGGAGAAGCCTTAGGGCTCGATATGGCCAAGGTGACATGATTCAAGTTGCCGAGATCATTGAAGCCCTAGCTACACTCAAACAAGGTAACCAAACTGTGACTGAGTACTATGGTGACTTAATAGCATTAAGAGACGAACTGGACAATTATCAACCACTGGATACATGCACTTTACACCTACCAGCAACACTCAGTGTAGGGCAATGTATCAAGTCTTCTTTTATAGAGACATCAACTATGTCATACAATTTCTCAAGGGTCTTAATGATAATTATGCTACTGTAAGGTCCCAAGTCCTGTTTGGAGATACATTGCCTTCGATTGACAGGGTGTTTCAAAGAATGCTTCAACATGAACGCCAACAGTATGACACTAATCAGGGCAAAGCACTTGCTACAGAGAGCATCACTCTTGCATCTCTAAGCAACATTCCTGCCAACAAAAAGGCCTGACCATACTTTACAAACTGCAAAGCTCAAGGCCATGTGGAAGATGTCTGCTTCCATAAGCATGGTTGGCTCCAAGGGATGACTTCAAGAGGATCCAATCCACCCACTCGGTCAGCTGAATGCACCTACTACAAGAATTTGGACACACAGAAGACAGATGCTATTCCAAGCATGGACATCCCCTAAGCTCAACTGGAGCTGGAAGAGGTAGTATAAAGGGCAGACAATATGCAAAAGCAACTTCAAGCTAACTAAGGCAGATTATGAAAGATTGATGAGTCTCATGAGAAATAAGTCTCAAACACCCAATGGACCAATCTTCTCAGCTACAGCATTTGTTGACAACAATGCAGAATGCTCAGATAAATTCTCTTTCAACACTCAAGCTAGACTACCTTATAGTCAAGTGTGGATATTTGATACATGGGCTTCAAACCATATAGTGTGTTCTCTTAGACACCTACACAACCATAGAAGAATTGAAAATGTGTACATGACCTTACCAACTGGGCAACAAGTCCAGGCTACACACACAGGAATTGTCAAATGTGTTGTAGACCTGGTACTTGAACAAATATTGTTTGTTCCCCAGTTTAGCTTCAATCTTGTGTCAATTAGCAAACCGACCAAGAACTAGTCCCTCTGTTTGACATTCTTCTCTGACTGGTTCTGCTAAGCTATTCCATGGCCTTTACCTGATAGACAACACCCCCACAGCCAACCACCCTAAACACATCACAGCTGCTAGTACTCAAGCTTTTGACCTATGGCATTTCGGACTAGGACATGCATCTCATTCCAAAGTACCTCTTTTGAAACAAATTTGTACATACATAGAGACCTATAGTTCTTTACCTTGTGATGTCTGTCAGTTTGCCAAACAGAAAAAGCGATCTTTTCCTACTAGCTCTACTATTACTGCAAAGGCTTTCCAGTTAATACATGTGGTTATTTGGGGACCAAATCCTTTTCCTAGTCATTATGGATTTAAATACTTTCTTAGAATAGTTGAAGACTATACCAGAATGACCTGGATAGTTCTTTTAGCATCAAAATAAGAAGTTAGACCCAAATTGCAGGCCTTCTAAACTTATGTTCAAAGACAATTTGACACACCTATTAAAGGGATTGGGAGTGACCAAGGTAAAGAATTTCAAATGACAGAATTCTTTCAACAAATAGGAATTTTTTATGAACAATCATGTGTTTTAACCCCACAACAAAACAACAAAGTTAAAAGAAAACACCAACATATCTTGGCTGTTGCCAGAGCCCTTAAATTCCAAGCCAATCTTCCTTCTGATTTTTGGGGAGATTGTGTCAAACATGCTGTCTATCTAATCAACAGAGTTCCTACTCCAATTCTAGACAATTTGACTCCTTTTGAAAACTCCACAACAAACCACCTAACCTCATCAATCTCAAAGTTTTTGGTTGCCTGTGCTTTCCAGCACACTAGCAAACCATAGAACCAAGTTTGATCCTAGAGCTAGAAAGGGTGTTTTCATTGGTTTCACTCCTGGCATAAAATTTTACAGAATTTATAATTTTTCCAACCATGAAATTTTCACTTCCACGGATGTCCAATTCCATGAACATCATTTTCCCTTTCAACTACCACTAAACCAACCCACTGATTCCCATACCTATCCTACCACTACTACTCTTATTCTGTTTGATGATCCCAGTCCCACCACCAATTCCCTTCCCCCTCCAATTTCCCTCCAAACAATCTCCATTTTTATTTTGACACACAAACATCTTCTCCACCTAGCACCTCTCCTCCCTCTCCTAGCCTTGCGCCTTTCACCATGCCCTCCCCAACAACCATGCCACCACCACCACCTCCCACTAGAAAATCATCCAGAACCACAAAATCCCCACCCAAACTTTAAGACTACCATTGTAACCTACTTTAGCAGATTCCTTCCACCAGTCATCCTCCCTTGCAACACAATCCAGGTATCAATCATTCATTATCTTCTGTCATTCAGTCTGATAGCTTACCTCAGACCCACAAACACTTTGTTTTAAGTATATCTTGTCACAAAGAACCAACTACCTATAAGGAGGCTATCCTATCCTCCTATTGGAATGCTGCTATGGATGTTGAAATGCAGGCTCTTGACAAAGACCACACCTGGGACATTGTTGAAGCTCCTGCAGACATTTGCTTGATTGGTAACAAGTGGATTTACAGGATCAAGTTTCTTACCAATGATTCTATGGAGAGGTACAAGGCTAGGTAGGTAGCCAAGGGTTACAACCAACAAGAAGAAGTCGACTACCAGGAGACATTTGCCCCCAATTGTCAAGATGACAACAATCAGATTATTTCTTGCCATTGCAGCATCACAAAAAAGGCACATTCACCAACTACACATGAACAATGCATTTTTACATGGGGACTTAGAAGAGGATGTCTACATGAAACTCTCTGCTGATTGTTTTGTTCTTCGTGGATCGTTCCCTACTTCCTTGTCCTTGGAGATCAAGATCCAGTTTTTATAGCCGACGTTATTGTTCTTATCTTATTTTCAGATTGTTGCAGAATTATATGGCAGAGCCACGGTCAACCTCCGACCATCTCTTCTTCACGTGTACGGAACGAAGAAAGCTTCTCCGACAATGCTCATTCGGATGAATGCCTCGTGTCCTACACCAGTTTACGTTTATTGGTATTGTCAAAACCAATTGATTAATGTTCATCTCGTTTCTGGTCAACTTTTAACGACGAGTGAGTTGGTTGCAACATATGAATTGCAAGTTTGATGATTTCTTCTTCTCCAAGATGACGGTTAATTGGCTTCGTTCTTCAAGCATGAGAATTCAACGAGTTTGCACATTCTACACCATCACATTGCAGGGGTGTGTTCTTCAAGATTGGTGTATTTTGGTCAAGATTGATGTTGTTCTTCGCACCATCATCTTGCGGGGGCGTGTTAGAGATAGATTAGGAATAATATTATATTTCCTTGTCCTTATAGTATAGTTCTTAGTGTTTCTGTGTCCTTATAGTATTGTGGTTCTCTTACTTATTGTCCAAGTCTTGTAATCTATATAGACCCCTTTGTGGTTTCATAATAATACAAGCTACAAGTTACTATTCCTAAAACTTCTATACCTTGAACGGTCAAACATATCTCAGCAAGATGAGGAATTTTACAATGCTATATAGTATTGGTGCTATAGGTTTTTGCTTTTATGGTAAAACTTGAATTGTACCTTTAATGTTATGGTACAACTTTAGATTATACCTATACTATTTGTACAAATTCTTTTATGGTACAACTTGAACTTGTACCTTTATGTGATGGTACAACTTCAAGTTGTAAAGTTGTACCATAACATAATGATACAAATTCTTTTATGGTATAATCTAAATTTATACATTTCATGTTATGGTACAACTTTAAGTTGTACATTAAAGCACCAATACTATATAGCATAGTAGAAAGAGCAGTACTTGAAGTTGTTAACTTACAATAATAAAGAGGTATAAAATACTATTAATCCTTCTCATATCTATGAATATCCTTAGAGTTTGATATGTTTTGATAGTTGAAGGGTATAATAGTGAAAAATAATAATAAAGGACACATTTGTTAACTTATAATAATAATAAAGAGGTATACAATGTTATTAACCCTTCTCATATCTATGAATATCTTTAGAGATCTTTGACAACCTCCCGTACATAAGGGGTGAGCATATAACTAATCGCTAGCGGCCAAGCAAAGAGTGACAAAAAAAAAAAAAAAAAAAGAAGTTTTTCCACTGCCTCGAGTTGAACCCGGAACCGTCTCGAGAATTACCAAGCTAGGCAACCCATAATTGAATTCAAAGGTTACAATGCCACAGCGGATTCTTGATAGAATTTTGAAAATGTATTTATTTATACACGCAGTAGAACAACTGGCCGGGTGACTATTGTTTCAACTCGTTAACTTCATCACTCTCTGTAACAATTTCAATCATATTTATTGTTTGTGAGGAATTGTAAAGAAAAGAAGAAGAAAAAACACAATCCACTAATCTTTCTTTCTCATGTTTTTTTTTTTTCGCACAACGTAACAGAAAAAACTGAAGCCAAATAACCAACCACCGCGTGCGTCGTGAAGCGCAGGCCAAATTATATTGGTGAGGCGAGTACGGGATGTGTAATTATATTGATCATGGCCAACAAGCAGCGCACTGACATGCTCCCATGGTCGTGTCACACCAAGCCTTAGGATAATGGTCGCACCTACAAGCTTTACAACTTCCACAATCGCTGTGATGATGACAACTGTGAGGGCAACCCGAAGAGTCATCCATTATTAGAACCACTCTCGCGCCCGAAATCGGGGCAATTGCTGCAGCAGAAGCAACAGCTTCGTTTGCATCGCCGGGTCTTGCTCCCGCCACCACTACCGTTGTCCCACCTGCAGGGTAACCATTGCCGGAGTAAAGCCTGGTTACGTTATGCCTGGATTCTTAACCAGGCCGGCCATAACCCATTTTTCTTTCCGTTCATAACTCAGTTAATTAGAGCGTGTTTACACAACGACGACACGTATGTATGTATGTTCCTCAATCCATACACATGAACCGGAGGATTCGGGGAAAAGGCTATCAGAGGGAGACTTACAGATGAAGGGCAGCAGTAACATGACGCAAACCGCAAGCTTGATACAAGAAGATGTATGCTTTTCCATGCCCTATTCGATTTAATGAATATTGCAATACTCTGGAGGGAGGTGGCAACTGGGAATTAAGAGACTATATAGTTGTTGATGAACTGCTTTATGGTTGGCCTCTTGGAGATGTTTATATTATATATACAATCCCGGGATGTATATCTCACTATATCTAATTATCTATCTAATAAGTTGTAATAATAAACCTTATTTACATTAATTTTGTACCTACAAATACAGTATTATTATATGCTTCCATCGGCCAATTCTGTCGATGGTTCCAAGTAAGTACTAGTTGCTATGAACCATGGAGTCTTGTTCGCCAACTTAATAGATAGTTCCGTGGGAGGGGGAAACTACTTTGGGTAGAAACAACAAAGCACAGTTACGTTACCGCCCGCCCGTTAGCATCTTTTGTGTTCTAGGTCTGCACTGCAGGCAGCGCGCCATCTTTGATTACTCAAATCTTACCTACCTATTCCCTCACTAAAATGTAATTGGTATTTTTTCAATTTGGATTAAAAATGAAATCATCAAAAAATCAAAATAGTC